TAAGTGAGATAGCCCGTTGAATATTACCTAGTATTAACGTGGGACAAGCTCGTTCATGAAAACGCAAAAATTGCTTTGGTTTTGTCACGTGTTGCTATAGATCGTTACTTCCTCTACAGCGTCTCAGGAAATGCAAATGGAATATTTGCCCAAGGCATGAGGATTTATTGGAAAGGGTCAGTTTTATGAAATAAATTATGTGACATGTTCTGCACCTTCCTCTTGTCGTGTAGACTAATAATAGTAACAAAACGCTAAAAGGTAACTGTCGTCTAGGATGTATAAAATTGCATAGTGAAGAACTTCATACTCTGCACTTTTCAGCAGATAATATAAAGATAATTATAGGAAGGAAGTTTAAAGGGGCAGGGCATGTAGCACGCATTGAAGAGATGATAAATGCGTATAAAATTTTATCGGAGGTCGTGAAGGGAAGAGCCAACTTGGGAGACATAGGAGTTGATGGAGGCAGAATTGTAAACGAAGTAGAATGTGAGGTTTGTGACTTGATTCATCTGGTTTTCTCGAGTATGTCAGTTGTTTTGATCGCTTACCATTCTGTGTGGCAGACATGAAGCTCATCTTTCCCAGCCCTCTTCCTCCAACTGCCATCTTGTTTTCTGTTTATGACCTCGATTGAACTCGAATCCCGACCTTCAGACTCTGTGACCCCTCACTTCTGGTACAAGGTGTGACTCCGTCTCCGCTCTGGTACTGGTATGGTCTATTCAACGAAAGAAAAGTTGATTGCGCAGTCGCACTTCTTTAGTGATCAGTTTTGTTTAGGGTAAGGTATTAACCCTTTGGTGGTTTCGCTGTGGAACCAACAATGAATTCCTGTCTGTTACCTAGTGATAAAGTGGTTACATATACAACCACCTTCAATTTGAAATTTCAGTGGCTGAATATTTCCTCGTAAGTTACGTGCTTTAGTGATGAACAGCTTAAATATAAGGCAGTGTAAAATCAGACCTAAGTTCCAAAATTAATTCATGCTTCAAAGGGTTAAGAATAACTTTATATTTAAGTTATGGGTGGAATTAGTACATACAGTGATACATCGTTTTGTGACGTAATTGAACTCTCTTCTTACATGCCCTTTTATGGAGTCAGGATATTATCGCAACATTTTTAGCTAAAACAGTTAGGCCAAGGTGTCCGCACATTACCACAAAGTACTACGTACACAGACAGCCTTTAATTTTCCAATATTTGATCCAACATCTGAATTATCTTGGTCTTTGCATAAATATAATTAAGGAAAGGCAGTGTTTTAAGAGGCAGGGCTTTCTTTGTGGGGAGCGAATGCGTGTATGAGAGTTTGTGTCCGTCTATTTGATTGTCCACGTGTTTCTTTTCCGAAACTGCCGAACGGGTGCAGATGAGAATTCAAATCTGCTTCTCTTCACGGTTTCCCCATATCAAGGTTATCTTAACACAGAATTCGTCTTGAGAAGCTGATAGTCACTAAGCTCGCCTAGAAATTCCTTTCTTTTTACAGCACCAGAATGGTCATTATCCCTCGCACACAAGTGCCAGTCACTGAATCTCATTCCGAACTTGATGAATCAAGTACATAACCTTACATTCTGTTTGTTTAAGACGCATTTGAATATTAACATCCAATCTATGACCATGTTCCCAAAGTTGTCCTTTTCTTCAGGATTTCCGTCTAAAATTTTGTATGTAGATCTCATCTCCCTATAAGCTCTTCTCAATCCATGCTTCTCGACTGTAATGTTCTAAATGTTGTAAGTTGTACCAGAGTACACATCGCACTTAACAGACTGTAACACTGGGAGGATGCAACTTACGCTACCTTACTTGCATTGCATTGAAACTACGAAGGCGGAAAGGGGGCGTAGATGTAGAACGCCATGCACTTATTACCTTGGCACTAGCTCTTTACCTGACCCGTTTTAATCTGAGGAAAAGAGGTCTAGATAAAATGAGGAATCAGAACCCGTTTCGACGTTGCGGTAAAGATAAAATACTTGCTCCTGCAGGGAATGGAAATCTGAACATGTAGACTGTAGCCAGTCGCCTTGCAGAACTCTTACGACTCACACTGTTAAAACATAGTTCCAGTTGCCTCGATCTCTTTTTTTTTTGTACCTGAGCTACAAAGCAAGGATTGTACGGTGTTAATTTATTAAAAAGTTCTACGTGAAATACTTTATTAAAACCTTGTTTTTGCGTTAATTTTTATGAAAACTTTAAATTTGCATATTTAAAAGCTGCAAATTAATGTTTCAGCTGTCGAGGGAGATTTTGTTTCACTGGTACTGAGTACATGAAAGTTGCGGTTGAATGAATGAATTTAATTTAAAAGAGTTCTCGTATTTTTCAAACCCCGTCGAACCGTTTCAAACAAAATATTACGTGTCAAGTGTCAGTTTATTTTTACAGTTGTCTGTTACATATTATTCATTCAGAGTTCAAATCCTAAATACCTTTTGTCAGTTCAGTATTCTTTGTCGTTTTATTTGATTTTCGCGTGGATGTCTCTGTTCATCGCTCGTAGATTTCTGTATGAAAGATGATGTTTTAAAGATCACAACAGAACAACTTACCGTTCTGACGTGAAGATATAATTCCAATTTTCCCTGCCACCCGGCCTCCCACTGGCATTCTTACTTCCTCTTGAAGATCGAGAGCGAACCAAGCAGTAGCCAAAACGATGCAGGAGGTCGGTCAGCGTTTACCAGCAACAAACCTCCCCAGCATCAAATCGATCTGAAAATAAACAAAGCATTCTGGGAAGAACTTAAGAGTCTACTTTGCTTAAATTTGTCAGTATGTACAATGAGCTGTGAGTTAATAATTATAGATATTAGTTAGCTTACGTTTTGGTTGCTCAGAAGTGGTGCAGTGGACATGTTGAACCTGAAGCCACAAACCGTTTCAGTGCACAGGGACGGGCCCTTGCCACGATATGGTGTAGTAACTTGTAAGCAGTTACACAGTAAAGACCCTTCAGGGATCTGTACCATGAACCTATAACTCTTGTTTCTTAGTAACGTGGCCATTTTCGAGTGAGACATACAAGATTGTGTGTCAGGCAAAAATGTTCTTATGATTGCAGTTACATCTTGTCTTTTTATGGGGATATTATTTTCTCTCGTGGTAGAACAACTGCACCTTACATTAGAAATCCGTATTCTTTTACAGATATTGTATTAAGATATATTTAAAGTGCTTCTCTTTATTTCTTACAATTAAAACCTACGAAGATGGCTGTCTTCTATGCTGTAGCGCTGTGTAGTCTGTCCTTCCGCCTGTCTATTCGTCTATCTATCCAAGTACGGTCTCCACCCACACTTACGTCCGTTTTTCATCTCCATCATCCATCCCTTCACCCTGTCATTTATCCAGACATTTATTTATTCAAAACTGCTTCCATTCAGCCCACAGTTCCGTTGTACAGGCATTCACCCATCCATCCACCATTCACTAATCATTCTCATCCTTTATCCACCCTTCTACTTTGTTATTATTTTATCCAACCACTGATTTATTCATCAATACATCCATCCACCATTTCTCCATCCATCTCTGTGTGTGTGTGTGTGTATTTGAGCGTCATGGTAAACAATCATTGAAAAATGTTGTTGAATCTACCGTCTTCACACAACGAAATTATGCTCTTCGGCACTTGTATCTTATGATAGTAAGATTGGGGGGAGGGGGTAATATACATTAACCAAGTGCGCGTGAATTTTTTAATTGAACAATTTGTTGTGTGAATTCGGTAAAACCGCCAGTATATTTCAGTCTGTCTGGGTTTACTTCACGAGTGTCATGTTTCTGCAGCTCACTCTCTTTGCTCATTAGTGTGGCGAAGTCCTCTCATCTTTTTGCATCAGACCTGTCAGTCGCCTTGCCCCCAGCCAATAAATGTGCTTCGTATCATCACGAGCATTAGTTAGATACAGCGGTTAGTGGTCGGAACTCAACATTGTGAATATTTATGACGTAACACCTGGTTACCATTTCATATATAATACGAGTTTCCTTGCATAACATGGGCCACTGTGGGTGCAGCACTTTGTAAAAGCAAAATACTGCTCCCAAGGGATATTTAATTATTATGTAATTTCAAGGCGCTGTTTCAACTGCAGAAACTATACTATGGAAGGAAATGGGAAGATCGTAAATTATGTGAAACAGGCATGTTGATGTAGGATATAAAATTCAAATTAGTTATTACTGGGAAGGGAGATGCATCGCCCTGAATGAACTGAGGAGCAGAAGGTAATAATTGTCGGCCTATAAGGGATTTGATGAAAGTCGGGCACAATATAGACGAGAATTACAGTAGGTCTTGTGTCTTCGGTGTATGTGAATCAGGCGCTACGTGGCACCAACAGCAGATACGGAGTGGAGCATAATGCTGGCTGGCACTAATCAGAACAGAATCTCTAGTTTCGTACTGAATGCACAAATGACGCTCGTTACACCGCGATTCTCGTTTCGTATTCTGCCCAGCTCTCTGCTAGATTTGCTTTGTACAGGCCAATCCTTCTATTTCTTAATTTCCTTCCATCAGTATCACCAACATGGCGGCCATGCGAATTTCGGAGTCACTTAATGCAGTGTCCTGAAATTTTGTGTAATACTAGACCGAATAATGTAAGATCATTTCTTGATGTACTTTACTTTGTAGAAGGCTCAATAAATATTTATACAGAATGTCCAAAAAAGATGTATACACACATTCAGTGAATGAAATAAAGACATTTTAAGAAACTAAACCTTTACATACGTCAGCATCTGGCACTTCGTTAAGTAGAGAATCAAGTGTAGGTGTTCAAAATGACCACCGTTAGCTTTGTGGCACAGTTGCCAGGGGTGAGAAACTGACTGACAAGCAGCCAGCAAAGTTGCTGTTGTGTATACATCTTTTTGGGACACTCTGTATTTATGATTTGAGGTGTGTAGTCTGGTAGATGTTTACCAACGTTTGTACGTTGGTAAACATCTACCAGACTACACAGCGCAACAACCCAGAAGACAAAAATCTTCACTCTGTATTTAGTTCGTCATGGATGTCTATTAGATTCTCGGATCCGGTGTTCGCCGTCCTCTTTTGATACCCAACGACAATGGGTACCTGTCGGGTGGGGCGCGACGCAATATCGTGTGCAAGCATATGCAAATTAGAGCCCTGTTCCACAGCCTTGATAGACGCGTAATATGCCTGGTAAACGCCCAGGTCTTCAAGTAAATGCACGAACTGTAATACAACAGCCTTCCATAGAAGTCTCTGCCTGCAAGTTGTACGTTTGTGAGGTTATTTAACGACGTTTTATCGTCTTGATATAATATTAGGAATTTAAAAGGGTGTGAATATAAGCGACAGTGGTCATTGTTAAGGCACTGTCACTCTGTTTGTTTGTAAGAACTTGGAAATTCGACAAATAACGTATTTTCAAGTGTTTTTCACTGCTTTTAAAGAGCAATTTTTGTGAGTTGAATATGACAATTACATATTGTGTCGATAAAATGATACAAGTAATATTTATTTTAAATTATATTAATTTTAGTTATGAATGTAGTTTTGGAAAGAAAATCTAGATATATTTGCCCGCCTTTCACTCTGCCCGCCCGTCCTCTATAGTCTATTTACGTTCTGGGTGTATGCAAACAAACAAACAAACAATGACAGGCTAAATCGAGAGACTTTGAATGCGAAGGAAAGGATCAGGGAACATCTTGCAAGATCCGTAGCCTTGATGATTTCTCTGAACTCTGAATGTATGCTGTTCGTGGATTCAATTTAAATACTTGAGATATTAGGATATTAATCCGGCGTACAATGTAAAACTAATTAAACAACTGGCATAGTAGTTGTAAAGAGAAAGAGGGTTTGATTTGAATGGATGAAGATGAAAATGCTTCACGTTTTAATTAAAGTCCCAGGACGCGAAATTTACATTTCAATCAAAGCCATCCGAGGCAGCAGAATGGCTACAATCGGGACTTCTAACACTCAATTTGGAGTACATTCTGTGGTACTTCATCTGACACGGGGAATTCGTTCTTTCAGGGTCTGCGGAGAAGAACGCGACATGTAAGTTTTTAAGGTCTGTAAATTATATTCATTCCCTTATAAATAAGTGATTATTTGTATAGCAATATTGCAGCTGAAGCAAAACATCCATTGCACTTTTTCGGAATTATTTCTTTATTTAAGACACAGTGTAGAGGCGGACTCTTATCTTCATGGTAATGGACCCTTTAGTTCCAAAAAGAGCAGAGAAATTATTTACTACAAAGAAATGATTTAACCCTACGGATTTAATCTAGTTAGTCCAGTTATTAAGTGACTGGAATGGGCTGAGTGACCGGTGTTCGATTCAGGGCGAAAATATTAATGTATGTTTTCGCCTCCACTGTGGATCCTGCACAGTCTTTTGTTCAGTAGGTATCGAATTCATTATCCCCGGCGGTAAAGCGGCCCAAGTTCGGTAATGTTCAGTGACCTCTGTCTTGAGCAGACGTTAATAATTCTTGGCGCTAAACCTCCGCGCCCCATACGTGTTCATGGCGCTGTGATTAAGTACAGGTATAAATTTAATTTTATTAGTTGTATATTTATTTTTTATTGGACCTTTATAGTTGTAGTGTCTATGAAAGGGTAAGGAACTGTTAGAATAATTACCATATATTAAAAATTTAAATTATTACAAAGAGAAGTGGAATAATGTGTTTTTTATGATTGTAAAATAGAACTTTAGAAAAAATATAAATAACAAAATTCGTTTTAAGATATTCTTGTAAGGAACAAGAATTTACCACACGTAGAGAGCGGCTTGGGAACCGCTCAATTCGTTACGTATCTTGAAGTAACTGATTAGAATGCCGCGTCAGCTTTCTATGCCCCAGCAGTGGACAAGAGGCAATGGTAGCACAGGAAAGTCTGATTGGTGCGCAGGAAGAACATTCCTAACGCCATAGACGACTTTCTGCCTTCGGCGTTTTAGTCTTTAGCCACTGATTATGCAAAATCCCAAGATAAATTTTAATGTGGTCCTAATAATTCTTCCACTTCTTCTTCTTTTCCACTTCACTGAGTATGCAGTATTGTTTGTTAAAGCTTCAGTGATCAATAAAACTTTCCTTTCAATTTGTCATCTTTCTCTGCGTCTACATTTTAATACATTTTCCTTTGGAGGTTGTAAAATGTTTTTCATATTTCGAAGATTTCCACGACTTCGTCTCTCAAAAATTGTTTGTTAGACGAATACTGAATCAATTTTCCCCAAAGAGAACCTTCTTTTATTGTTTGCTAATGAAACATTTATAGTTCAATTTTTTCGAAAGCTTGTCCTAATTTCAACCAGTCATTTAACATTGAATTTAGACGATAAATTTAAGGAAAGGCAGCGTTAACTTTACTGAATATACGTTAAATCAGAAGGACGGACGGACGAAAGAACGGATGTACAGTCAGGGTCTAAGACAAATTTTATTTGCCAATTGTATTACAGTCTTATTTGTTCAAATATGAGAATGTCGATAACGCCTGAAGAAATTCCTTATACTGACCCGCTTAACAGATGTGTCGGAGAAGTTGCCGTGCAATCACGGCGATGTCTGTCGCAGAAACTGAAACGAATATAAGGCGTATTATGCATTGATCCTTTGTCCCATAAACAGCAACATTCCGAAAATACGCGCTGGTTGTACAAGACGAAATTGATGGGCACTTTTACAGAAGTTTAGTTGGCAACGCGCTTAAAAATCGAATTTATTTTCGTGAGAAAAAGTTGTAGAATGTTTCCTGTTATGGTGCCTTAACACTACACATCATTTACTTTTGTGGCATGATGAAAGTAAGCCGATGATTAATTAAAGTAAGTGTTCATTATATCGATAACACATAAGTTTCTTTAACTCTGTTTTAAGAATTGCTTATTTGCCCTAGACGCTGAAGACTCCAGCACTCACAACTGTCTTCGAGGAAATGATATTACTGTTTCCGACAGAAAGCCCGGTAACTTTCTTGCTCCCTTACAATCCCCTGGAGCGGAAGTTAAATTTGTTTTCGTTTATTTTCTTGGCCAGGGAACTTGCTTAGAGAAATCTGATGATGAGATTAAGTCCCAGGCGGTTTTTGTCGTGCGTGGAAACTGGGCCCAGCCCAGGCATTGTCGTTTGAGTGTATTACCTTGATTACTTAAGTACAAGAAAATCACATCAAGTCAAGTTTTTCATAACTCATCCCCTTCTCGATTCTAATAAAAATTTTCTAATTCGTTTGTTTTGTGAAGAGAACGAATCACAGAGGTCGGTGTGAAGCAAGGTCCTTCATTCTCCAGCCGCTTCAGCCCTCTTAAGGCCAAATATTCTGATCAGCACCCTCAATCCATATCCTTCCCCTATTGTGAGGGACCAAATTTGACACCCATACAAAACAGCGGACAAATTACAGTTTGATGAGCTCTTTTAGACTACCTCTATAGGTGGCAGGTGGGAAGACAGAAGATTCTTAACTGCTTGATATCTAACATTGCCCTAACATAATCTGCTCTTAGTTTGTTCATGAATATAATTTTGATTGGTTACTGCTGTTCCCCTTCAAAGTGTCAACAGGGTCTGTGTTTTTATTTTAGGTATTTATGTTTTCGCCCAATAAATTAACATAATAAGCTCATGTGTCAGTTCCATTCCCTCCTTTATTTCTTCGACTTCTTAACCGCGTGTTTTAAAGCAAAGTTTGAAAACATAGAAACAAGTTCTGCATGCACAGTCTCTTTTGATGCGTGTTTAACCGTATGACACCCCTCAGTCTCGAAAGAAAATGGGACTAAAACGCAAGAGTTACGTAAAAATAGAGAATTACTTTTCCTTTGTTCTTACTTTTTTGACTGGCCTGTCAAAAGTTTGATTTTTTCTTTACGTTTCTCTTATCCCGTTGGGAAATCCGAAAGCAAGATAGTGTAAAATAAAATCCGTGAGAAACGACGATAGGAAGGACAGCCGTGAGGTCTCTGTGCGAAATAACATTCCTCCTTCGCCTTTCCTTCTTCATTCTTATGGTTTTATGTTCTGTAAATAGTCATCGTATGTCAAGGCACGAAAGCAGTGATCCCGTTCGGGCATCTACATGTACAGAAGCTGCAAGTATCTCGGATCGGCAGAAGTGTATCGCCGCATATCTAAATAAATTTGTTTATATCATAGGATTTTTATTCGATTTTTGGGTTTCTAAAATGAACACATTTCCTTATCAGGCCGTAAAATTAATTTGTAGGAAAATTCATATTTTATTATCTAAAATAAGTGAGATAGCCCGTTGAATATTACCTAGTATTAACGTGGGACAAGCTCGTTCATGAAAACGCAAAAATTGCTTTGGTTTTGTCACGTGTTGCTATAGATCGTTACTTCCTCTACAGCGTCTCAGGAAATGCAAATGGAATATTTGCCCAAGGCATGAGGATTTATTGGAAAGGGTCAGTTTTATGAAATAAATTATGTGACATGTTCTGCACCTTCCTCTTGTCGTGTAGACTAATAATAGTAACAAAACGCTAAAAGGTAACTGTCGTCTAGGATGTATCGCCATGTAGTCTGGTAGAAATTTACCGACGTTTCATACTTGCTGTCTACCTCAATTTTCAGGGCCCTATAATCCAGGAGAAGTCCATATACATACTCATCACCGTGAGAACCTACAGTTCTACTTAATACACTTCTCACGTGATACAGAACTGTTAAACATATTTATTTTAAGCTGTCCGTTTCGGCCTGTTGACTCTGGTTTATTCCCAGTACAATCTTTTCCTCGTGGATATCGATATTCGGAATTTCGACACAAGCTGATCTCGACAACCAGCTTATTTCTAGATTGCCGTCTGGCGTACGCATTCTCTGCGGGCACATTTCCAGGAACTACACGCTGCATTTGATTAATGGAGATCAGAAATTAGACTCGTCTGACGTCTGTAAAATCGGTGATGAACGATGGTGAAGAGAGTTGTGTATGCCGAGGTACACAGATCGATCTTTATGAAACGTTCTCCACAAGCAAACCACCATCACCCGTTGCAGAATGTTCATTCATAGATCAGTAGTGATAATTTTAACATATAAAAATTAAATTTATCGTTTAATTTGAACAATATATTAAAGTTTCTGTAATCCAATAACGTTAGGAAGTTTCTAAACCTTGTACTGTGATTATGAATAGTGAATCAGGCTCTTGAGATGAAACTGATCAGTAATTTTCATAACAGTTCTATTACAGTTTCAGACGTTAAAAAGCGACAAATGAAATGCGATATATTCCTGAAATTTGAGTAGGCAATGGTTTGAAAGGAGACGGTCTCTGCCTGTTCAAAGATACTGTCCTAGCAGTCGCCTCGAGACAATGGGTAATCTACGAAGGCATCGCTTAAGGATTAAGATGTTGATCTTCTGGGTTGTGACACCGTGTGGAGTCGTAGGCAGATGCAAAAGTTTCGAAGAAAAATACTGTCTCCATTCTCAGAGCTGAACAACATCGTATTCCTCACCGCCGTGAGGACCAAATGTCACGTCGGCTAAGGAGTTTGTTACAAAGGAGCTGTAGACAATTCGAACGCTTTCTTGAATTGTCTCAAGTCTCGTCAGCACGCTCACGTTTGCCGATTGTCGATGTGGGTAGGGCATAAAGGCGGTTCCCTTGTGAGCCTCTGCGCCTTTCACTGAGCTGAAGCGTTCGAGTAAGTCCACATCGAAGTGAGTGCGATATTGATGTGAGTCAGACGCCGGGACTCGAAAAGTCGCAAAACGCCTCCGTTTGGCTCGCAGCGAAGCAAATGTGGACCGCCTACGATTTGTCGGATTGACCGCACAGCTTCATCCTGCGTCTTCACATACGTCATCTTTCGCTTTATTTAATTTCTGTTCACATTACAGTTCCATCTTATATTTATATTTATGCCATCATTTTTTTATTTTTAAATTTCTAAAATATATAGAATTGTTTAAGAAGCTCGATTCTCTGCTTGCTGTAATATATTGTTCCAGCTTAAATTTGAATATAATTTTTTCCCGCTATTTATTAGTCCCTTTTTTCCTCGATCATATTTTCCTTCTTTCACCGTACTTTTCTATAATTTGTGCTCGTGTATTTATCTTTTCGTTCTTTTATTATTCTCTTTACGGAGTGATCCTTAAGCAAGGGAAACATTTTACCATTTCCAATTTTCCAGTTTCAACGTTTTCAGGGCGACTTCATTCGTTTATATTTGGACAGTTAATGACTCACGCACATTTACGCCATCCTCACTATAACTTTCATCAAAACGAACATAACTTGTATATGATAATGATACCAAAATAACACACGTTCTGGTCGATTGATACTTTCCTGCAATAGCATATGGAGAAATCATATATTCCTTAACATTAGCTTGCCTCATTAACTTTCATATTAATTCATCTCCATACAGTATGTTTTATAAGATACTGAAGTTGATTTATTATCCATTGTAATATTATCTTTCTATCTACGTCCGCATTTTCTAGGTGGTCTCACTTTTCAGGGTTTGGTCTAATACCGTACATGAGCGTTTGTCATCCCTCATGCGCGCTGAGTGTTCCTCCTGTGAGCCCTCTCGATTTGATTACCGAAATTTGTATTTGGTGAAGAGGACGTGTTACGAAATGTGTCGTCTTTGTTCTTTTCGTCGTTCTGTCGCTTCCTTTGTTTCTGTTCTAGATATTTTCTTCAGCACTGTACTTTTTAACAGCTTCGATCGATTGGTCGTTATCCACCAAATGCTCTAATTCATTAATCACTTTCCTCCTGGCAACTGACGCGTTTCGTTTGAAATCGATAATGTAGAGTTCGTTACTGTACTCGTGTTTCTTTGACATCAGACCCCCAGCACTGAATCAGAAAGAAATATGGCCACTGCTTCCATTCTTTTTGCCATGCCAAGAGAAGTGAACAATTCTAGAACAGTTCAATAACTGTCGGCATCCAATATAGATTCTGTTGGCTTTCAATTCGTTATTTGCAAAGAAGTTTCTGTCTCCATGCCATATCTGACTGTAGGTGACTTTAGAAGTCACCAGTTATAAGCTGGACTACCGTGGTTCTATTCCCTGCGTGGTAATAGATTTTCCTTTCGTTTTCTGTCACGTCCATACTTGTTCTGGACCAATCCAGTCTCCCACTGAAGTCGACAAATCATTTCCATCTAGCACCAGGTTAAAAATGCGCTATGCTGTACGCCAGTTATCCGTGTGCCCCTTCATGACGTGGAGCGAAAGCCCAGAGATTGTACCTTTATATTACCGTCTTGTTTATTAAATTAAGCCTGCTACTGCAGTCTCAGATTACCGCCGCTTTAATTAATATGTCCAGAAAACTGTCAGAAGAGGACAGCGTTATCTGAGCGTGTCGTCTGCCTTGATGACATGATGCTTTATCACCTACAACCTCGAAACCGTGCGCGTATATCATCATCTGTCTTTTTGCCTACAATATTCTGTATCGTCTTCTTATTCCCTTCCCTTAAACATTTTCTTCTAGTTTGTTCTATTTTTATATCGCATTCCTCATAACATATGTGCTGTATTTTTTTTTATTTCTGAAAACTTTGCCCTAAATAATGGCTGTTCCGAGAGTAATCTCGTGTATGTACTGTGTACTTCGTCTAATGCAACTCGTAGAGCAGAATTTTTCTTTTTCTTGTTGTCGTTTCGCTCTCAGGTTCTAACAAGTCAACGAGAAGAGGAGGAAGATACGAAATAAATAACATGGTGCATGGCGAATAACATAAAACATTAAATAATTCTTATTAGGTTTCAGAACACGCAAAACTTGACCTAAAAAATGTACGTAGAAAAACAAGTAGAGTTTTTTATCTGTTGCAAATCTTGTCTTTCATTTCGTGCCTGGAGTTAGAATAGAGAGTTGAGGTTTTCGATCCCACGCGTGTTCCTGCTCGTTAAGATACCTCTTCTGTATTTAATAAAGATGTCGAGGACTAATAATTTTCTCCTGTCTCGCAGATCCGCCCCGTCTGATCGTTAATAGCTCATCTCTCTGGAATCGTGACATAATCATCAACCCGGTATCCATTCACTGAGCAGAATGAGCTGTATCAACTGCTTTTGTAATCAGCAGTTATTATTAACTTAAGAGTGCTCGGGGCAAATGCTTTAGTATAAGCTCTATATCACGTTAATTGAGTTAGAGCGACGGACTCTATCTTCCGAGGAAGAAAATAGATGTTAGCCTTGGGTTATTTCGTAGAGAATCACGTTGCCATGCCAAGAGAAGTGAACAATTCTAGAACAGTTCAATAACTGTCGGCATCCAATATAGATTCTGTTGGCTTTCAATTCGTTATTTGCAAAGAAGTTTCTGTCTCCATGCCATATCTGACTGTAGGTGACTTTAGAAGTCACCAGTTATAAGCTGGACTACCGTGGTTCTATTCCCTGCGTGGTAATAGATTTTCCTTTCGTTTTCTGTCACGTCCATACTTGTTCTGGACCAATCCAGTCTCCCACTGAAGTCGACAAATCATTTCCATCTAGCACCAGGTTAAAAATGCGCTATGCTGTACGCCAGTTATCCGTGTGCCCCTTCATGACGTGGAGCGAAAGCCCAGAGATTGTACCTTTATATTACCGTCTTGTTTATTAAATTAAGCCTGCTACTGCAGTCTCAGATTACCGCCGCTTTAATTAATATGTCCAGAAAACTGTCAGAAGAGGACAGCGTTATCTGAGCGTGTCGTCTGCCTTGATGACATGATGCTTTATCACCTACAACCTCGAAACCGTGCGCGTATATCATCATCTGTCTTTTTGCCTACAATATTCTGTATCGTCTTCTTATTCCCTTCCCTTAAACATTTTCTTCTAGTTTGTTCTATTTTTATATCGCATTCCTCATAACATATGTGCTGTATTTTTTTTTATTTCTGAAAACTTTGCCCTAAATAATGGCTGTTCCGAGAGTAATCTCGTGTATGTACTGTGTACTTCGTCTAATGCAACTCGTAGAGCAGAATTTTTCTTTTTCTTGTTGTCGTTTCGCTCTCAGGTTCTAACAAGTCAACGAGAAGAGGAGGAAGATACGAAATAAATAACATGGTGCATGGCGAATAACATAAAACATTAAATAATTCTTATTAGGTTTCAGAACACGCAAAACTTGACCTAAAAAATGTACGTAGAAAAACAAGTAGAGTTTTTTATCTGTTGCAAATCTTGTCTTTCATTTCGTGCCTGGAGTTAGAATAGAGAGTTGAGGTTTTCGATCCCACGCGTGTTCCTGCTCGTTAAGATACCTCTTCTGTATTTAATAAAGATGTCGAGGACTAATAATTTTCTCCTGTCTCGCAGATCCGCCCCGTCTGATCGTTAATAGCTCATCTCTCTGGAATCGTGACATAATCATCAACCCGGTATCCATTCACTGAGCAGAATGAGCTGTATCAACTGCTTTTGTAATCAGCAGTTATTATTAACTTAAGAGTGCTCGGGGCAAATGCTTTAGTATAAGCTCTATATCACGTTAATTGAGTTAGAGCGACGGACTCTATCTTCCGAGGAAGAAAATAGATGTTAGCCTTGGGTTATTTCGTAGAGAATCAATCTGTGTTCATTATGTTACTTGTTGAAGGGTTGAACTCGAGACGCGTTAATTTTACTGGTTCTCTACGTCATTCAATGTTTATAAATGTCTTCGTCCCTCAAGTGCTTTTACGTAGCCATATTTTGAAGCGAGACTTTTTAAAAAAAACGCTGATGAAGGTTAGCAGTCTGCTTTCTTTCGTATCCATGACGCAGAACATTGTATTTCCATTAGGTCGTCTGCACGTTCAGTCCGGAAGATGGCGCACATCTGGATGTTATTCAGTTTTATATGAAAATGAGAGGCAACTCCAGGCGCGTACAGACGACTAACGTCCTTCGCAGCGTATACGCCGAAACATGCAGCAGTTGATTTCATCTCCTCTCTGCCGTAACCAAGGAAACGGCAATAAACGTTTTTATACCATCCGACCATGATAAGACCAGTGTAATCTACATTAACGTATTGCCACACTTTTTATTCCTTTAGTTACTGGGGATATTTTAAATGTAATGAAACAAACCACTTTTAGAGCAATGTTATCAAGAATAAGTAAATTCTTATTAAGGGGTTACTTTTTTTAGCAACAAAAATATTTAAATTAGGAAAATGCCTTAAATACGAGTACCTGACATAACTAGATCTATCAGATTTTTAGAATAGAAGATAATTTAAAACGAAGATTAAAATACAACCTACAAGGATAAAAGATTTACTAAGAATTTCAGAAAAAGATGAACAAATTATGAAACTTTGGAACTCTAAAATTTCGAAAGGCGTAATGCGGGGCTCTGAAAAGTAATGAACGAGGTTAGAGGTTCTCACAACGGTTAACAAGTCCATGGTGGTCTTCTGAGCTGTGACGTCGTGCGGGCCTGTATGCGGGTACCAATGTTTGTTTATGAGGAACACACTGCCTCCTTGTTCAGGGTGTCACAAGCCAGAAGACCGCCATCGACACTGAAAAAGAATATTCTTTCTCTTTCATGTCCTATGTTTTTCCTCACTGCGTTTTATTCGTCGCTTAATATTATTAGCGATACCAAATGAAGTAGGATGAAATAAGCGGTGGGAGGACCAATTGGGAAACATAGAGTACAGCGTAATTTCAAGGTGGTTCTTGGAGATACGTTGTGTGTGCTGGGGACTGGATTGAACTAGCTTAGGACAGGGTCTGATTGTGTTACTTTTCTAAATACGGTTCATTAAAACTTAGCAGCGAATTTCTTAACCGTCTTAGTAACTTAACTTTCCACTTAAGATCATGAAGCATTAAGTTTATGCGATAGAACTGGGTAAGATACCTTAGTTATCGTTCATTGTAGGGTTATAAATATGTAAACGTGCTAATACGAAGACGGTCCCGCTGTCTAGGGTTCATAGACCAGGGACAGACTACTTGACGGGACATAGAAGAGTAGGCCTGCTTACAAGGCGACGAACCCATGGGTGATAGCGATTCTTTGATGACGCTTACCTGTGTTATCGGCCACCCCGTTCCTCAGGTTCTCAACGAGCGAATATGAAACTTCTCGTCCGTATTTTCTGTTGTAACACTCACCGCCTACCTGAAATGAAGGAAGAAAGATAAAGAGATTCCCAGGTCGCATAGAACAATATGGACGGAACGTATTCAAGAATATAAACTCTGTTTCATTCTTACATCTGAAGTAATTAATGACGTGCACTGACTGCTTACAAGGGATAGGATAGGAAGTAAGTACTATGATGATAAATTCGCACGAAATGTAAATCACTTGGTACAGCCAGACATAGGTGAAGGGGTAATTTTAAAACATGTATGATTTCAGGTTTTCACAACGGTGAGTATGAAGATTTCTGTCTTCTGGGTTGTTGCGCTGTGTAGTCTGGTCGATGTTTACCAACGTTTCAGAGGTCATACTGCCTCCGTCATCAGAGTATGAAGATTTCCGTCTTCTGGGTCGTTGCGCTGTGTAGTCTGGTCGATGTTTACCAACGTTTCAGAGGTCATACTGCCTCCGTCATCAGAGTATGAAGATTTCCGTCTTCTGGGTCGTTGCGCTGTGTAGTCTGGTCGATGTTTACCAACGTTTCAGAGGTCATACTGCCTCCGTCATCAGAGTATGAAGATTTCCGTCTTCTGGGTCGTTGCGCTGTGTAGTCTGGTCGATGTTTACCAACGTTTCAGAGGTCATACTGCCTCCGTCATCAGAGTATGAAGATTTCCGTCTTCTGGGTCGTTGCGCTGTGTAGTCTGGTCGATGTTTACCAACGTTTCAGAGGTCATACTGCCTCCGTCATCAGAGTATGAAGATTTCCGTCTTCTGGGTCGTTGCGCTGTGTAGTCTGGTCGATGTTTACCAACGTTTCAGAGGTCATACTGCCTCCGTCATCAGAGTATGAAGATTTCCGTCTTCTGGGTCGTTGCGCTGTGTAGTCTGGTCGATGTTTACCAACGTTTCAGAGGTCATACTGCCTCCGTCATCAGAGTATGAAGATTTCCGTCTTCTGGGTCGTTGCGCTGTGTAGTCTGGTCGATGTTTACCAACGTTTCAGAGGTCATATTCCCTCCGTCATCAGGGCGATTCAGGGCGATGGTTCATTACAGAGGCCCACCACTGGACCTTATCCTGAACTTCTTGAACGAAGTACCAACATCCTAACATTCAATTTCTTTAAAATATGTTTTAATGTTATCTCCCCATGTGCTCAGTTAACCTGAAAAAATTCATGCAGGTGGGGTTTTGTTTTATAATTTAGTTCAGTATGAATTAAAATCTCGTCTGTAGTACCCTCTTTGTTTTCATCAGGAATATAAATGACTACTTGAGCAAACAGTCGTATTGAATGTTCTCTCCAACATAATCTGGATTTCTCATTTATGTGTTCAGACAAGCTATGTCGTTATATTTTTACGACTTTTCCGATATAAACCGTAGGTAAATTACGCGGCTAAAGACAGTAGAATCGCCAGAAGAATGTATCAACTACACCCTACAGAACGGCAAACTGAAAGACTTAAAGCGATTATGGTAAATGCGGGATACACAAACATTACGCATTTCAAAGTTACTGCAATCGTAATGTAAGCAGATTCGCTTCAGAGGCCGTTGAGACACTGCATGATCCAAATTTCGTGAAATCGTAAGGGCTTGAAATTTAAACGAAGAAGGTTATTGTGAAATAAGTTACCGCTCTGCGCTTTCCTCATTCTAGAACGCACGTCCTCATCTGGTGCCTGCCGTAGCAAAATCAGTCATCCAGAATTAAAACTTTCTTCGAAATCCTGCGCATTGCCTGTGGATTTATAATCATCACCAAGCTCCACTCACTACGCCACGCTTTATGCAAGAAGCTCTGTGAAGTCTGTGTCCGTAGTAATTGACTTTGTTTAGAACTGCAGTTTCTGCAAGGCTCTCATCTGGGATAAAATTGTCACTCATTTACAGTAGAATCAAGGGCGTAGCAGAGAATCCTAGGTCATGTAGCGGTGTCACTGTTCATGTTCTACATGACAGCCAAATATATCAATAAGGAAATGCACTTACTAGAGGGCGAATATATTAGCAGGAAGAATATAGGAATATACCTGCTTAAATACCTTGCATAAAGTCCATACTAAAATCAGACCTTAACGTTCTGCCCAGGCATCCATGCCTTTTTCGTCCACAAAGTTTGAGAATTGGTGTAACCAATCTTCCCAACTTCCGTCCACTACGATACATGCTAGTAATGCCACTGTTAGTTGTGAAAACATGAGACAGACTTATATGTGATGTGAAGCTTTCACTGCGGCTTTCATTAATAAAGTCTTCTCGGGCTATCAGCCGGGTTAGATGTTGATTAATCGCCGACGTTTCGAGGACCATCTCTGTCTACGAGCCACAGTCAACAACAGCCTTGAAAATGAGGACAGAGATGGTCCTCGAAACGTCAGCGATTAATCAACATCTAACACGGCTGATAGCCCGAGAAGACTTTATTAATGAGTCAGACTTCTTTTACTTCCATTTTTCTTAAGAGCAGTGACACCTGTACCTGTATAAGAATCATTAAACAGGCGAAATTTCTGGTTCTTACAGCGACTAGTATGGAGAGGCTGTCATTACCCTGATGATGCAGGCATTTAAACACCCCAGAAACAGTCATCTTCCTAATTAGAACGTTTATTGGGGTAGAACCGTATTTGCACAATCGTGATCGCTAAATTCAGCTCAGCTTTTGCGACAGCCTTTCTGCGACTGCTGGTGTCCTGTGTAAAGAGATTAACGACGAACGGAACATAACTCTTCCTAGCAACAAATCCGCATTGCCATTCTGGTTGCAGATCTTCACAGTTTACTCAAGAATTTATTAGGCTGGCCTTATTCCAAACTTCACTCTTCCTACTGTAAAACAGAATTTCGCCTTTATAAATGGCGCCGTGCAAAGTTAGGTCTAGAATATGTAATCTAGAATTAGATTCGAAAGTTTCATAAAAATGTGCACAATTTGTATTCGTTGTTGGAGTTGAAAGTTTAGATAGCTTTAGAGGGAAGAAATGTATGAGTCAGCGTTAAGTTGACGAAAAATTATATTTGCCGTGAAAATTTTGTGTGTTTCCTTATATAACTGCTTTTATTTAAAAATATTATTTAGTAGCTATTAGAATAGTATAACGGAAAAGGACCGCTTCCTTTCATATTCGTTTTAACTTGTTATTCAGTAATTATTTTATCGTCCGACGCTAAATAATTTAACCTACTGACAGCCATATGTAAACCATAAATAATTTAAATAAACAATACATAAGTGAATATAGTTTTGAACAGCGGGATTGCTTTGAAATTAAAGTGGTCGGAATCTACTACATTTCTAGGAAGTGACTTTTTATCGAATAATTTAAATATGGAGATGACATACAAAACTTAATTTCAATTCTTATTCGTATGCACCTTTTTATCTCCGATATTTTTTCTTGTTTCTACTGTTTCATCTTTTGATCATAGGTTCTTCTATTTGTGGCAGAAATAAAGCGCGCAGAGAACTGCATATCCACAGAGAACGGAGTTCAGACATCTCTGTGGGTGCTACAGTATCAGGAGAGACAAATAATTTCCTGAACAGCATCCAGGCTTTGAAAGGTTTAATCTTCCCCTCTCTGAGAAATATTATTTGGATTGATATTTCATTCATGGAAATAAAACTCCACAGTTTATTTACAATTTGCCAGATGTTATAATATCAGGCATGCTTTTACAGTTTCGTCTTTTATTGCATGCTAAACCTCTGTTACAGTGATGAAAGAAGCGGAAGACAGGACAGTTGTTGTTTCTTTGATTCAGACATTCAGACGGTGTAACTTGGCGTTTTGTTTTGGCTCGCATCCAGAGCTTTCCAATGTAGGCGCCACTACGGTACAGTAAGGTTAGTCCAGTTTCCCAGAAGGAGGATTCAGGAACTGAGAGTTACGACTTCTTGTGTTCCGCTAAGTTGCCTTTTGCGTCTAAAATTTGTAGCTTCGTGGGGATGAAAATTTATAATCTAAAATTAATATCAGTGGTCGTTATCAAAAAATGAAACCGAAAGAAAAATAAATGTTTTGTACGCATTTGTTTCTGTGATGAACTTTGTAATTTTCGCTATATATTTAATTCATATTATACACAAGGATTTATTGTGAGTAGAAACAGATTGTTGTTGATGATGTTTGAAGTGGCATAGGACAAGAAACGAAATTTTGCCAATTAAAATAAAACTACACATATGGTTGAAATTTGGCCTAAGTGACTTAGCTAATACGTCTCTGAAGAAACTGTATTTAAATTAGGCGTGGAATTAATGCACTACGATTCACATGGCTGGCCACAGGCTAACAACATCCATATAGGCTGCTTTTACACGGCGAAGTTCTGACAGATATACCGACACAATTTTATGGCGTTTTCATAGTCTCTGAGTGCATGCAGGGCTTGTAAGCGCCCTATGCAGAAAGATATATGCATTTCCGAACTGAGTATATAGATGTATTTGTGAAAGCTGAGCAGCGGAAGTTGACTTGGTTGCCCTAGCAACGTCCGATATAACATCACGAAACTCTGCTCTGCCCGGTTGCTATGGTGAAGAGAGAGATGACAAAACAAAGTTGACAGGTTACATGGTTCTCAGAAACTCTGACCTGTAAAGGCAGAACGCTGTTTCCAACATATACTATATATTATATTAGGTAGCCAATTTTTATATGTGACATGCCGTCAAGGGTATGAAGTCGTGACGTGCATTTCGTTTAACCTCTTTGGTTTTCACACGAGATGTATGGCCCCTTCTCCATTAACCCTAGTTTATGCTGTTCCTCGTCTCTCGTTCCTCACAGTGATGCACAAAATGCGTTTTGGCCGATATATCGATCAATCGGTAAGTCGTTAGCAAAATATCGATGCTTGAAAAAGTTGGTTGTAAAGAGTAGATAAATGTTTATATTAATTATGTACCGAATATACAGGGAATAAGAATAATTGCCATTTAAGGGAAGATGAAGTCGTTTTTTCGTAAAGCTTGTACATTAAGAATTGTTCATATTTACTACTTACCAATTATAACTACCACT